CTTTGCGCTTCGTCGTGTGCTGCAGTGCCTGCCCCTCCCATTTTTTTCATTAGGCGTGCAATGCCACTGCTGCTGGTCACGGCGGGAGTGTGGATCTGCAGGTTGTGCTGGAGAGTGTGGGCATGTTCACTGACTATGCATGGGTGTGGGGCGGGCTGGGCTTCCTGGCCGGCTGCTACCTGCTGCTGGTGGGCCTGGTCTGCGGCGGCTTTGCCTTCACGCCGGTGAGCCTGCTGTGCCCTGCGCCCTTCTCGCTTCTGGCCCCAGTGCGCTGCTGGCCCGGTGTGCCCGCATGCCTGTTGCCGGTGTGGGCCTGGAGGGCCCCTGCAAGCTGCTGCAAGCTGCTGGCAAGGAAATTTTGTCTGCCCGGTTACCTGCAGAGCCCCGTCAAGGTTGCCACTGTGGCGGAGGCCAGCAAGGAGCGAGGCGCGTCCGCTGAGGCGGCAGAGGCAGGCGCCGCGGTTCCCCGCAGCAGCAGCGGCGCCTCTGATGCACAGCTGGCTGCCGCTGCCACTGGCGCCGCGGGGGAGCGGAAGCAGGGCACGGTGGATGGCGCAGAGGGGGGGGGCGGGCAGCAGGGGGGAGCAAGGGCAGAGCGGGCCATCTGCGGCGCTCAACATCCCCTTCACCCCCATGACTCTTGTCTTCAAGTGAGCAGTTGGCGCAGCCGGGCTTGGGCAGCGTTTGGCTGCCTATCTGTCCCACCCCTGCCGTCCGCCCCCGCTCCCATCCCCTGCCTGCCTCCACAGCTCCCATCCCCTGCCTGCCGCCCCTTCTTTCTATTCCTCGAACCGACCTGCAGGGAGATCTCCTACTTTGTGAAGAAGCCTTCCTGGAGCAAGGCGGCCGAGAGCAAGGCACACCCCGGCACGATCCAGCTGCTGCACGTGAGCTGCCAGCCTGGCAAGCGCAGCACGGCACCTGGCAACAGGTTCAGGCAGCCCATCAGCAGTGGAGCATGCACAGACGCAAACTTCCCTGTGCTGCTGCCGCCGCCGTGCAGAACGTGAGCGGCATGGTGCGCCCCGGCCAGCTGACGTGCCTGATGGGCGCCAGCGGGGCGGGTAAAACTACCCTTTTGGATGTGATCGCCCAGCGGAAGACGCAGGGCATCATCGAAGGCGAGATCAGGCTGAATGGGCACCCCAAGCAGGAGGGCGTGTGGCGCCGCGTGAGCGCCTACGTGGAGCAGCAGGACATCCACACAGAGACGGTGCGGGGGCGGGGGGCTGCTGAATTTGGTACTGGAGGTCTTGGCAGCCTGGCATAATGCGGTTGTCGGCTGAGATGCCGCTGTGCAGCATGCGGCCACTCATCTACTGTCCCCCAGCCCCCTGTGCAGGCCACGGTGCGCGAGGCGCTGCTGTTCAGTGCTCGCTTGCGCCTGCCCTCCAATGTTGGCAACGTGGAGATCGCCAGGTGGGGGTGTGCAACTTACCTCTGCCGTTCTGCATGCCAGCCCTCCAGCCATGCCTGATCTCGCCCGCTGGCGGGGTGAAGGACCCTGTTGGTCTTCCCCTGGATCGGCCGGCCGCAACTTCCTGGGCCATGTGGTGGGCCTGGTTGAATTGCCTGGCCTGGCCCAACAGCTGGTGGGGGTTGGGGTGGGGGGGGGCCCGCAACGGGGGCTGGCCCCGGAAGCAGGGCAGGGGGTTGTCCTTCCTGTGGAAGTTGGGGCCCAACCCCGCCTTCTTCTTTAGGGAGTGAGCGGGGTGCCCGGGATGGCAGGGGGCAAGCACGAGGAACGACTTGTTAGCACTTGCTTTGCCCAGTTTGGTGCTCCATTTTGTGGCTGATGAAAGACACTGCCTGCCCTCTGCGCGTGCCTGTGCTCAGCGAGCCGACGTCGGGCCTGGACGGCCACGCGGCGGCGGTGGTGATGCGGGTCACCCGCTCCGTGGCCAACATGCAGCGCACCATCTGCTGCACCATCCACCAGGTGCGGCTCTGTGCCCTCTTGCCTCTCCTGCAGCCCCACAGCAGTTGCATTGGAGAGTTACATGTATGTCTCATTTACATGTGGTGCATGGTGCTGCTTCCATCGTGCGCACCACGATTTCCTGCGTCCTTCTCCCTCGCAATCTGCGTCCGTTCCTTGCAGCCCTCAGCGGAGATCTTCTTCAACTTTGATGCCCTGGTGCTGCTGCAAACAGGAGGGAAAATGATGTACTTTGGCTCCCTGGGTGAGGCAGCAGACAGCAACTGGCCCCGCATTGGCAGCAGCCGGCAGGGAAGCTGGCGCGGTACATGCTCTTGCACCTGCTCTGCGCTTCACGCCGCTCGCTGCCACCTGCAGGCCACGAGTCGGCTGATCTCATTGCCTACTTCTCAGCAGCGGGCGTGCGGGCCATCCAGGTTTGTGCCTGCACAGCAGTGGGAGTCTCATCAGTGTGGCAGCTGGCTTGGTGTAGCTGCTGAGGTGCAGCTGCTGAAGCCGCTTGTGTGCTGCTACTGCTGAGGGCACCGCACCCCTGTGTGCAGCCGGGCGAGAACCCAGCCAACTGGATGCTAGATGTGGCGGGCGGCTCTGCTGCGGGCGGCGCCAGCAGGGGCCCCGACTTCATTCAGCTCTACCAGGTGTGGTGGGCAGGCTGGAAGCCCTGGTCAAGCGATCCTGGTGCAGCTTTGCATTGGACCGAGGGCCGCTCCTGGGCGATTTCACGCATCCCTCGCTGCCGCTGCCTGCCTGGCTGCCTGGCCGTGTGGCGCAGGACAGCGAGCTTCTGTCCAGCAACAGACGGGCCGTCGATGCCGCTTGCCAGCCCGAGGGCGAGCCGCCATCGGTCAGCGGCGGCACCTATGCCGCCACCTACTGGCAGCAGCTGCGCGCGCTGCTAGGGCGCCAGGCTGTACGCTACTGGCGCCTGCCCCAGGTGGGGCGGTGGTCAGGGGCGAGCAGCAGTTCCAACTGCATTCGTCTCCCTCTCATCTGAATGGTGGCTACCACCCCAGGTGCCACTGCTGCTAAAGGAGAAAATGCATGTACTGCCTGCCTGCCTGCCTGCAGTACAACGGCATCCGCATGGTGGTGTCGATAGCCTTTGCCCTGGTGGTGGGATCCCTGTACTATAAGCAGGGCCAGGTGCCCGCCGGCGGGACCACCACCAATGTGACAAACGTCATGGGTGCGCCCCGCCGCCGCCTCCCCGCCTGCCGACTACAGCGTGGGCCAGCGGGGCAGCCGTGCAAAGCCCAGCTGACCAGGCTCGCAGCGAACGTGCTGCTGCTGCTGCTGCTGGTCGCCCTTGCAGGCATGCTGTTCATGGGCCTGTCCAACCTTGGAGCCATCAATATGCAGTCGGTGCTCATCGTGGCGGCGGCGGAACGCACAGTGAGCAGGCCCGCCGCCTGGGCAGGAAGGGGCAGGCCACGGCACACAGCATAGCGCGCACAGCCAGCCTAGGCAGGAGGGGGCAGGCCGAGGCGTACGGCACAGCACGCACAGCACAGCCCCATCCCTGCCCTGGCTGGCTTGCGGCCCAGCGTGGTCTTCTCTGTGCGGTACGTGCAGGTGCTGTACCGCGAGCGCGCCGCCGGCATGTACTCGGCGCTGATGTATGTGAATGCCGCCGCGCTGGTGAGTGCGCCGCCCGCTGGCTGGCATGGGGAGCAGCCCGCCATAATGCGGCAGAGCGCCATGGTGTGGCAGAGCTGCCCTCCCCGTCTCCGCTGCCTCGCTTCCTTGATTATTGAGCGCGTGCATGTTTGCTCCGCCTCCCCTGAAGCCTGCACTGACCTGTTGCCTGCCCCGTGTGTGCAATGCTGCAGGTAGAGCTGCCTTACCTTGTGGTGCAGGTGTGCCTGTTTGCCCCCATCGCCTACTACATGGTGGGCTTCAAGGCGGCCGCCGGCAGCTTCCTCTTCTTCCTCATGACCTTCTGGCTGTCGCTGCTGGTGTTCACCTACTTTGGCCAGATGTGAGCGGCGGCTGGCTGGCTCCCGCCGCGGCGTGTGGCGGGGTGGCCATGGCCGGAGCGCTGGCGGGAGGGGGCGCCGCTGGAAGGCTGGCTAGCAGCTGACTGCATGTCGTGCCTTTGTGCCATGGAGCCCTGCAGGTGCCTGTACATCGCGCCCAATGTCCAGGCCGCCCAGGCCATTGCTGCCACGCTGTCGGGACTCTTCGACGTGTTGAATGGTGAGCGGCCATCCCTCCTCGATTTCAATCTCCCCCTGGCATTGGGTGTGGAGGATTGAGCCGGCTGTCGCCGTGCCTGCAGGGTTCTACATCCCGAAGCAGCTCATGCCCGTCTGGTGGCGCTGGTTCTGGTACTGCAACCCCGTGTCATGGATGGTGCGTGCACGCACCATCCGCAGCCTGCGCTGCCCCGCAGGCCGGTCCCATGGCGCCGCGTGGCCTGCAGCCCGCCTGCCCGCCTGCCAGGCTGCTTGCCAACGGTCATACCATGCTGTTCCCTGCCTCCACCGACGCTTCCCCTGCAGGCGTATGCCGTTGCTGCCAACCAGCTGGCGGGCGACACAACAGAGGTGTCCACAGCAGCAGGGCAGACCATTACCGTGCAGGCCTTCCTGGAGGGGACGTATGGCTACAAGGCCAGCTTTGCCTGGCCCGCCATCGGCATCCTCGTGGGCTTCCTGGTGGGCTTCCGAGCCATCTCCACCCTGGCGGTGCGCTTCCTCACCTTCCAGAGCCGCTGAGCTGGCGGCGGCTGGCTGGCGTGGGCGCCGACGCAGAGGCGACTGTGCATGCAGGCAAAAGCAGCCATAACACCCACACACTAGACACTCATTGATTCAATTTTACAATTCAATCCCCACAGATTCTTTCTCAAATTTTGAATCGGTCAACCTACTGCCCAGCCCCCTTGCACTGCCCCCCCCCTTTTGCACATGTTTCTATTGCTGGAGTATGCGCATGCCTCACCAACATCAGCCGCTATTCTCAACCATCCAGCGTTTGATGTAATCCACGCCTGCTGTGCATGCTGCGGTTACAGAGGCAGTTCCTGTCAAGGTACACTCACCTTACATGAAGCACGATCATGAAAACAGCCAGGCTAGCATCCTGTAGCAAGCAGCCTACGTGTCCCTGGCGCCAGCCTCAGGTCCTGCAGGAGCAGCCGGCCCCGCGCTCCCGCCGCTCCCACCAGCGCCACCTGCCACAATGCCCACAGCCGCTACCAGCAGCTGCCTGAGCTCCTTGACCTCCTCACGCAGCCCGGCCAGCTCGCTGGCGACGTCGCCGCCAGACCCGCCAGGCCCCTCGCTGGCCGCATCGGTGCCCTCCCCTGCGCCAGGCGGAGCAGGGAGGCTCCCCAGGAGCGCCTCATCCTGGAAATGTCTCAACATGGCACCCCCTACAGGGATCCCCGGCCTCCTCCCAGCCCACCTTCCAGCAGCATGCGCTGGTATGTGTCGGGCGAGCCGCCGCCCTGCCCCAGGTACGCATCCAGCAGGGACCCGCCGCGCCAGCGGATCGATGGCAGCGCAGGGTCGGGCGCAGGTGGGAGGCGGTGAAGCTGATGTGGCGGCCGCGGGGGCTGCGGGGTAGGCTTGGGAGGCGTGGCAGCGAGCGGCGGGGCCCCGGCTGAGGCGGCGGCTGCAGAGGAGCGGCCTGCAGCATCGTGAAACCAGCAGCCGGATAATTAGCATGTGCTGCCTGGGCGACTCGTGTCAGCGAGGCTGCGCCTGCCAGCGCCCATCCCTACCCTGCAGGCCCTCTGCCTCCTCATCTCCCAGCGACTTCCACAGCCTGTCCAGCTTGATCGCATCCAGCTTGTCTGGGTCAATGCGCAACGCATGCAGGTAGCGAGGGTGCATCTGGGGCCACAGGCGGCGCAGCAGGCTGCACGCAGCAGGGGAGCGGCGGCGGCGATGGTCGCAGAAGAGACTGGGGCAGGCGAGGACCGAGCGCTCCTGCATTCGATGTTGCTTTCTTTGTCACCTGGGCGCGGCATTCTCCAGCTCATCGATCACCATGGCCTTGCTCAGCAGCTGGCGGGCCTCCACATCTTGAGTGACCTGCCGGGGACGGCCAGCCACGCCTGGCTCTTGCCAGCCAGCCAGCCAGCCAGCCCCAGCAGACACCGCGTCGCAGCATGCCATTGAAAATAAATCAACAGGCCGCACCTTTTGCAGGGTGGTGGTCATCAACGACACCAGCAGCGTCATGAACACCATTGTGAAGCAGAATATGAAGGAGACGCCCAGCAGGCAGGCGGCCAGCGGGTGTGCCACGTGCGGTCCGTACAGCAGCGTCAGATTCGGGTCCCCAGCCACCCAGGACACCTGCGGCGCGGCATCTTGAGGAGTTCCGTGCCACGGCCACAGGGCGATCTTCACAGTGCTGAAAGCATCTGGCAAGAACGCAAGCAGGAGGCAGCTATGCACAGCCATGGCATCACAGCCCGCAGCCGCTGCGTACCATCGTGATGAAGGACCGGCCCAGGCCAGCAAACTCCTGCGCACACAGCGGGCAGTGCTTGCCACCAGAAGAAGGCACTTGAGGCAGGGAGGTTCTGAATGCCGCCTGCCGGCAGGCGCCGGCAGGCAGGCATCCATGGGGTCAACTTGAAGCCGGCCTCACCCTTTGGCCGTCGCCCCGCGCCCTGTCTTCCCCAAACAGCACGTAGAAGGCGCTGCCGAATCCTGCCATCACCAGGACCATAAAGCAGATGTAGGAGCGCAGCTGCAGCGAGGGTAGGGAAGAAAGAGCTGGTGCCAGCAGCTTCTCTGGTGTTGCGACGGTGTGCCAGCTCAGCGCGGCGGGACATGCAGGCACCAGCGGGCGGACACAGCACTCACATCGCGCAGCACTTCCTTCAGGTCATCAACGAAGGCAAAGCGGGTGGCGGGGAAGACGCGGCTGTAGAACTGTGAACGCAGGCACAGGGAGGGAGGAAGGCAGGGGCTGTGTTGAAAAGCAGCACGGCGGCACCACCCTGACAGTCGAGGCAGCAGCAGCACGAGCCGGACTCCCGGCCCTCTGCAGCTGCCACCACATTCGCACTGCGACTGACCTGCAGCCTGAACAGCAGCAGCACGCACTGCACGGCCCCCACCACCGGCAGGATGCGGGGCCCAAAGGGCATGCGGCCCAGGTGCAGTACCACGATGGCGGCCTGCGTCGGGGCAGCGCTTAGTTTGGCAGCATGAGCGGGCAATGCACACGAACGGCGAGGCAACTGGACCACAGTAACACTGCCAGGTATCGCCAGCTCGCGCCTGCAGGGCATAAGTACTCAGGTCCAGCAGCCTCCACAGGTCCAGGAAGTCGGCCTTGTAGGCCATCGCAGAGCAGGCCTCGGCGTAGAGGAAGGGAAGCATGGCTGCCGTACCCACCAGCTCCGCCGCCACAGCCACCCTGCCGTGCCAGGTGGCCAGCAGCGCAGGCAGCGACAGCTGCGCGTCTTGCACCTGAAGGGGCAGCAGCATGCGGGGTTGCCTCCCTGCTGCAACCTTTTGACAGTGCTGTGAGCATGCCATGCAGCCATCATCGCCGTCAGAGTGGTTGACGGCAGCCCATGTGCGCAGCCATCATCTAGAAAGCAGTGTGGCACTAGCACATGCATTACATAATGGTGAAGGCTGCCCTCACACCCACCCGCTGCGCCATCGCCCATGTGTACACCGCCACCAGCCACACCACAAACAGCGCCAGCTCCCCCACCAGCATCTTGCGGCAGAACCGCCACTTCCAGTCGATCACCGCCTGCACCGCCGGCAGCTGGAAGGTGGCGGCGCCGCAGCCGCCCGCCTGCCAGCGGCGGATGAGCGGGCGCAGCAGGCCGCGCCCCGCCGGGGCCGCCGCATCCCGCACGCTCACGACGTAGGTGCTGACCGGTATCTCGGAGCACCACTCCTCCCCAGGAGCGGCCCCCGCCGCCGCCGCCGCCGCCTTGCCGCCGCGGCCGCGACCCGCCGCGCAGCAAGGGCCCAGCTCCTGCCGCCAGGCGGCCTCATAGTCTGCCAGCTCCGCTTCCTGCGCGCCCAGCGTGGCCAGCTTGTCCTCGCCCAGCCGCCCCAGCACCAGCTTGTCCTGCGCAGCAGGAAGGAAGGGGAGGAAGGGGAGGGGGCACACATGAGGCGGCTCGCCCCTGCACTTGCCGAGACTGTGCCGACAGGCAAGGGTGCCTCGGCAGCAGGCAACGGGCTCTCAGCCACCCATGGACACACACCGCCACCCGCCACCCCGCGCTCACCGGCAGCGTAAACTCGGCCACCTTTTGCACCCCTGACTGCTGCAGCGTGGCGATGACGGCGTTGGGGGAGGAGCGGATCAGCTCCTGCACGCTGGGCCCCTCCTTGGCGGGCATCGCCACCACGTGCGCCCACAGCTCAGAGTGGCGCGCGTCACCCAGCAGCGCCTCCCGCTGCTCCGAAGTTCCGGCGCCCGCCATGCTGCTGTCGGGGTCGGGGTGCGCCCTGCCCTGGGCGGGGCCTTGGATGGCCTAGCCCTCAGCAGGGTGCGTTGCTGCCCGTCCGTAGCTGCGGCGCCCCTGCTGGCCTGCCGCCTTGGACACCCGCAGCTCCAGCCTTGGACAACCTTGGGCGAGGGGATGGGGCACACAGAGGGGCGCGATGGGGCACACAGAGGGGCGCTGGGTCTCAAAAAGGCAGCCTGAACCCCCTTTGATGTTGATGCTTGCCAGTGGGGAGCAGACGCTGGGTTTGTCTCTGGGCCAGGCACTGCGTCAATTGCGCAAGAAGACACCCGCACGAGCAGCAAAGGTGTTCAGCGCCCCGTCAGCACATTGCTGACCCACCAAAGTTGAAACACATTTTGACTTGGCAACCCTCCAGATCCTCGCAGATTCACGCCATCCAGGAGTTTGATTGCACCCGCCCTGTGGCGGCAACCCGCATGTGCCGGCATGCAGACATGCCAACGCCAGGCGGCCAGCGGGCTGGCTCCATATGCCCTACAGAGCTATCCATCAGAGTCTGCCCTAGTCTGCCAGTTTGCGAGACGTGCGGCTCGGGGAGTTTTGCAGCAGAATCCGGTCTGTTTTCCAGACCTTTCTACAAGCCGCCGGCCTGGAGCCCCTATCTCATAGGAGCCGTTATCCTCCCCAATCACCCTCTTTCCCGGCCATCGACAGGCGCGGCCTTCATTCCAGCCCCACAGGCGGGCCATCGCGCCGCCCGGCCGCCACTTTGGTGAATGCCGCCCGTCCACTGCGTGAGCTTCGTGGCCGAAACCAGCTCGGTGGACATGGAAGGCGCCGATTTCTCCATGGGCGAGCTGGTGTTCCCGCTGGAGGAGCACGAAGCGCCGAAGACTCCAGTGCCGTTTGAGGCGTCGGCGGCCGCCGCCAGCGACACCCTACGCCTTCTGGATCGCCTACTTGAGCCTGATACCGATGCGCATTCAATGGTGCGCTTGGTGTGCCGCATGCATCATGCCAAGTCCGGCGGTTGTTGGCTCTGGAGGGCTGGCGGCGGGGCCTGCGTACGCCTGCATTGAGCTTCAATGCCCCCAAGGAGCCTCGATGGGCCCGACGGAGCCACCTGGGAGGGTCTACCACCACCGCCGCACACGCCGCTGGCGCTGCCGCCGCCCGCCCCACTGCCGCTGCCTGACCCCGCTGCTCGGCCCCCTCTCCTGCCGCAGCTTGCTCGCCACGTGGAGCTGGCGGCGGGTGGAGCACACCGTACGGACCCCGCCACCCTCTGCCAGCTGCTGCAGCGCCTGGGCTACAGCGCTAAGCTGCACGAGTCGACCTCCCCTCTGGCCAAGTTCAAGCGCGGCGTGCGCCACCAGTACATCACCGTCTGCCTGCCCAGTGAGCCAACTCGCCGCCTGCACGTGCCGCGCTGCTGGTCCGGGTGCACGCACACCTGCGTCAGTGGTGTGACCCGCACGTCGCCACCCGCTCGCGTGCTCAACCCCGCCTCCCCCGCCTCGATGCCTGCCCCTTCCCCTGCAGACACCAGCACCACGGGGCTGTCTGGGTACATAGTTGACCCCAACTTCCGTGACTGCTTCTGCATCGCACACCCCACCCCGCGCTACGCCGCCGTGCTGGACGGCGTGCCCGCCGCCGTGGTGGCCGACAGGGTGAGCACTCGCCCCCCCGTGGCTGGCAGGGTGCGGGCCACATCACGGGCCGCGCCGCAAGAGCTTCTGCTGAGCAGTGGCGTCTCAAGTGCTGGCTGCCTGCTGCTGCTGTCCCACTTGGGTCGTCGCCCACTGACTGCGCATTGCGCGTCGCCTGCCCCTCTTTACCGATCCGCCTGCCTCGACTGAACTGCCCGCCCCTGCCTGCTGAACCCTCCCCCTGCCCCTGCCTGCTCCCCGTCCCCCGCAGGCCTTCTTCTACCGCGCCGTGTCCACTCTGAGCCGCGAGATGGCGCTGTCGTTTGTGCAGCAGGGCGAGGACCTGCCGCCCTGGCGCACCGCCCAGGCGCTGCTCAGCCGCTGGCACCTCAGCGGCGGCGACGCTGCCGCCAGCGGCCTGGGCGGCTGCAGCACCTGGGCGCAGGCGGCGCCCCAGGGCCGCGACCTCTTTGCCGCCAAGCGTCAGGCCGCGTACGGCGCCGACTGAGGCGGGCCCGTGAGAATGATGAGGCGCAGGCTGGGCGCCAGCGGCGGACACGGCTGCCCCTTGCGGTAGCTGCCGTACCCGCGCCCACGCCCACCCACCTCTCTCCCTCCCACCAAAAATACAAAAAAAATCCTCATCAGCCCCGCCCACCCGCACCGCCACCGCCGGCAGAGCTGGCCGGCCAGCCACCCCCTGACGACCCAAGGCGTGCCACCACGCCCAGCTGGCCTCCACCCCCACCACCACTGCCATCGCCCTGATGACCGCCCCACCCACATCTCGATGCCACCACCCACCAACTCCCCTTCCGCCACTCGCGACTACGCTACGCGCCACCTGCACAGCCACCCCGTGACACACACCCTGCGCATCGCCACTCCAGCCGCTGCCGGCTGCAATGCCGGCCCGGCGGCTGCTGCGCGCCGCCCCCTGACCCATGCACACCGAAAAACAAAACCCAACTGCCGGCACTTGTTGCTTCACTGCGGCACCTTTCTTTGCGGGGATTTGAAGCTCCTGCCCAGCCCGGCTCTGCCTTTGCAGGCGGCCCCGCAGCAAACTGCGGTTAATGCTCCCATGCGGCTCCTGGTCAGCAAGCCTTAATCAGTATTGGTTGGACTTAAACAATGGTTCTTCTCATTGACTCACACTGAAGCTGCTTCGCCGAATGTAACAAGCGAAGGCACCATCGGTGCGGAGACAACAGGAAGCAGGCAGCTGGCGCAGGCTGGGGCAGCATGCTGGTGTACAGAGGTTTGACTCACATGGGATGCATGGCAGGGGTTCGAAGGAACAAACAAGCACACAAGGAAGGACATTGGTATTGCGGATTGGTAGTACAGATTTCAGGAAGGTCGTCGTGCAGAATGGCATGCCCGGGAGCTAGGCACAGCCCCGCTACTCTGCCACGACATCGGGCAGCGCCTTTCCCTCCACCGGAGCCTCCTCCCCGGCCTCCTGCGGCTCCACAGGCAGCGGCTGCGCAGGCTGCAGGCTGTGCAGGAACTGCTGGAGGGCTGGCCAGTACTGCTGCGCATGGGTGTCATAAGCATCCAAGTGGCGGGCGCCTGCGGGCACGTGGAGCAGAGGCATCGCTTACAATGCAGCCCATTGGAGCAACTTAATGCACAAGGGCAAACCGAAGGCACTGGCAAGGCAATCCCCGCAGCAGCGGTGTGTGTGTGTTGCGCGGAATGCATGCATGCAGCGTGTGTGGCGGGCGGCACTTGCCTTCGATGTAGGTGATGGACCAGGGCTCCTTCGGGTGCACCTCGAACAGTTCCTTCATCTGAGCCGGCGGCAGCATCTCGTCCTGCACGGCCCAGCAGCGCGCATCGCGAGTGGGTCGGGCACTCCGCTGACCCACCCACTTGTGCCAGAGCTGCAGGCGATGATCTGGTGCCGGGATCAGCGCTTGCCGGCGCTGCCGGCCAACACACCCCAGCCCATCCTCGCACCTCCAGGGCAGAAAGGAAGAGGGTGGGCAGGTCCGTGAGCTGCTCCAGCAGCACCTTGGTGTTCCAGTGGTTGCGCACCAAGAAGTTGAATGGCCTGCGAGTGAGGAGTGTGAGAGCAGGGGGCCACGCATGAACAGGCAACATGCAATGCATGTGCCATCAGGTGCGGGGCGCGCAGCAGCTTGCAGGAGCCGGCGGGGCGCAGGAAGTGTTGCCACGCACTCCGGCCAGTTGCACACAGCAGCGGGGCGTGCAGCAGGGGCTACCCACTTGCCGGGGCCCACCAGGGGCCTGAGGAAGGGCATGGTGTGGGGCACCAGGTCGAGGATGCGGGTGAAGGTGTTCTCCAGGACCAGCCCCGCCACCTGCGGCCGCCGCCGCACCGCCGCGTGCGCCGCAACCGCGCCGCCCAGGGAGCGGCCGAACAGCACGACGCGGCGCGGGTCGAGGTCGGTGCGGCGCAGGATGTGATCCACAGCGCACTCGGCATCCAGCCGCAGGCCCTGCACAGAAGGGTTGACCGGTGGGGCTGTGGGCAGACACGTGGCTTGTCACTTGCGATGAGGCGGGGAAGATGAGAAGCAGGAGAGGGTGGCATGCCGAGCAATAAAACACGGACGGGCGAGAGTGATGCCTGCTGCTGCCTGCGATGCGGCCAGCCAGGCGGCCAGGCAGGCGGGGGCGGCAGGTTTGCGCACCTGCTCGCTGGGCGTGCCCTGGCTGCGTCCGTAGCCTCGGTAGCTGAAGATGAAGACGTTGCAGTCCAGGAGGCGGGTCATTGGCTTGAGGAAGGGCAGCCTGCACCGAAGGTGCGGGTTGTCAGGAGCAGCGGGTGCCAGAGCAAGGAATTCACTTGGAGGGCTGCCCTGCCAGCTGGCTTGCTTAGCCAACCACGACCTCCACCATCCCAGCACTCACTTCATACACAAGAGCACAACTGACACGCCCACACACCTGAATGCCATGTTCCCCGCATTCTCCTGGAAGAAGATGACGGTGGGGGCGGACCGCCGCCGCTCCTCGCCCCAGTGCGGCGGCCACATGAGCCAGGCGTGCAGGCGCAGGCCGTCGGCGGTGGTCAGCCAGACATCCTCAAAGGCCATTTGGAAGGAATCGGGCAGGTACGGGTAATCGCTGGGGATGCCCGGCAGCCGGGGCACGTAGATCTGCGCAGGCATGGGCGCATTGGAGGGATGGGCCCAGGGCGCAGGCTGGAGAAGACGTGTGGCAATGGCAGGGGAGGGGTCAAATCGCGGCTGCAGGAAGGCAGGAGAGCATGGAATGGCTGCGGTCACTCACGATCTTCTCTTGGAGGAAGTAGAGGAGACCCAGCGCCAGGCCCGCCACGCCCCCAAGCTATGTGTCGCAAGGAGGGCGGCAGCGGCAGTGAGGAGGGCTGGCAAGCTGACCCAGCCGCGCAGGCAGGCAGATCAAGCCCTGCGACAGATCACTCACTGCTGCCGCGGCCCTGGTCAGCAGCTTGATCCAGTCCATGGAGGCCAGCTCAAAATCAGGCCTGCACCACGGGTGGTGGGTGTCAAGAGGCGGCGGTAGACGGCGGGAGGCCAGGCCCTCGAGCGGCAGCGCGGCTGGATGGTTGTGCCGTCTTTGCCCGCACGCCCCGCCCAGTGCACCTGTTTACCGGGACGCGAGAGAAGAAGGAGAGCACACCCTGATCGGGAGTCCGCAGAATCGCCTCCTTTTGCCTCCTCAGAGTCTGCTAGCGAACACCAGCTCATAAATGCATGCGAGGCAGTAGCACAGATAGGAGAGAATGGAGGAAGGCAGTACAGGCGGGGCGGGGCGGGAGAGCGCCGCCGCGGTGAGAGCTGATGGCACCAATCCAGCCTCTCGCTACGGGACACCATTACACCATCTTATGCCGGTAGGTGGATGCTGCCTTTCATGCACCCCCTGCATCAGTCCTCGTCGCTGCTCAACTCGTCCTCGCTGCTGCCCCACTCTTCGCTGCCGCCCGACTCTTCGCTGCCGCTCCACTCCTGTGAGTCCTCACTGCTGGACTCGTCTTCACACAGATCAGGGAGCAGGCCTCGCAGCTCGGCCCACCACTGGTTGCTGGCGCCCTCAGCATCAACTTGCTTGAGCGCGGGTGTGGTGGCTGCAAGGTTGGCATCTGCAGTGCAGGTGCCCATGGCAGCGGGAGGCCGCGCCACTTCGGCTGACCACCAAACTATATAAAGGTCACAAGAGCCAATAGCCAGGCCAGCAGCTGCCCCCACACGCACCTGGCAGCACCAGGCCCTTGCCGATCTTCAGCTTGGTGAGAGCCGTGAGAGCTGTCAGGGGCTGCTGGCCCCAGTCAAACCCGCCCCACTTCCAGCCATCGTCGCCCTGCAGCTGCTCCAGCGCCCATGCCGCATCATTCACAACATCCAGGCTCCGCAGGCTGCGCAGCTGGGTCCAGTCGGGAGGGAGGCTGACAGCGCCCACCATGCACAGCCGGGTGAGCGCTGAAATTCCCGCCATGGCCCGCAGGTACACCCAATCCTCCCAGTCGTCCACATATGGCCACTCTCCATCGGTGTCTTCGGTGCCCCAGTACGAATGAATCGCCAGCGCTGCCTCAGTCAGCTCGGGAAGCTGCTGCAGCATGGCCACTGCTTGCGCACTATCGTTGTCAATGCATGTGTACAGGCTCAGCCTGCATCGCAGCCCGCAGCCTGCCACTGTCAGGTGAAAGGGTTAATGAAGAGCTTGCACCTCCGAGCCGGCACTGCGCCAGTGTGCCCTGTCCAGATTCCTTGGCTACGCAGCCCACCTGAGGTCCTTCAGCGCAGGAAGTGAGCAGCACAGGGTGCGCACGGTGTCGCTCCAGTCAACCATCAACTCAAGACTGCGCAGGCCCGTGGCGCCTGTCAGGCACCTGACAACATCCACAGGCGGCGACAGCACACGGGCCTCCATGTAATACTCATCTTGCCATTCCCGCCTCTGGCGATAGTCCAGGCACAGCTGAGTGAGCTTGGGCACCACTGAGGCTGCTCCGCTGCCGCTCCAGGCAATCCTAGCGCCATTGCCAGTGATGCTGAGCGTGCGCAGGTGCCTGAACCGCCGGAGCACTGTGAGCAAGGGCCCGGCGCACACAGCATCCAGCTGCAGCTCCCGCACTGTGGGCGGCAGCACCGCCAGCACCCCGCACCACAGCACCGCCTGCAGCAGGGAGGGAAGGAGGTGAGGGCGTTGCGCATCAGAACAGGAGATCCGGAGCCCTACACAAATGTTGTCACAATTGCATGGTGCAATCCACGCTGGCAGCCTCACATGCTCCCAGCCACCCTCCAGCCGTACACGCCACGTCAGCCGGTCCAACTGCGATGCCGCTTCCAGCACGCGCGCTTCCTCGCGCACATTTTCATCGTGACACTCCTCGGCAATATCAACGCTGATGGCCTCATTTCTCCAGCGGTAGATGTTCAGCCCGCTCGGAGCGGCGATGACAGCGGTGGGCCACAGGTCGGGCACGGCCTCGATGGCGGTGCACCAGGCAGCGCAGGTGCGGACCAGCGCCTGCCTGCAGCATGTTTGGAGAAGGAAAGTGTGTGCGCTAACAGCAGGCTGCCACCAATGCGAGCGGTTCACCGCCTGGCGCAGTGGGCGGACGTCAGAGCGGCAGCTCCAACAGCTCGGATGCTGCCAAGGTCCCCTGTTGCGGGCGTGCTCTTCACCTGTCAGCATCTCCCACCTCTCCAGCGATTAGCTGCACCAGATCGGGCGGCAGATCGGCCCAGTAGCACCTCGTCTTCGCAGGCATGGGTGTGGTAGGCCCAAGTGGGTTGATGCCTAAAGCTGACGTCAACCAGGATGATAGCTCAAGCCGCTTGCTGCAAAACAGGCAGTCTTGGACTTGGCCACACCCAGCGAGGTACAGGCGGGGCAGGTGGCCGGATCCGCCGCCGCCCTTCCTCTTCTCTGCGCTCTTATCATTGATCTCACACACAATGCGCTAAACAATGTCAAGCACGCAGCAAACAACGGAGTCAAGCATACATTGATGGATACAGGTGCACGCGGCGCCGTTCCTTTTCTGTCCTGCCTACGCTCGGCCTGTCGAGCTGCCGCTAGCGCCTTGCACACTTACTTGTGGCCGGCACGCCAGTCAACATGGAAGCAGGCGCAGTACCTTGCCGCCCTGCAGGCGCTACACCGCTGGCAGCTGGCGCCCAGGCAGGTACCTCGGTAGCCACGTTGTAGCAGGACAGGTAGGAGCAGCTGCAGGCTGGTGCCTCCATTTTCCAGCTCCAGCTGCTCCACGCATGCCGGCAGCGTCTCATTGTGCAGCGGTCGAGCAGTTCCAAGGAGGCCCTGCTGTGCTGTCCCAGCTGCAGCTTCAAAGCGCCGCCTGCCTCCACCCGCTCCGCCGCCCGGATGGCAGCCTCCTGCTGTGTGTGGGACGGGGCTCGTTGACGGGGAGGTCAGCCACGGCCTGGCCCGCAGAGACCTGCGCCATAGAATAGAGGCAGCCTCAAGTTTCCTGGCCTTGATCACATGGGAAGGATGGGAAGGCGGGGGGACTCGGCTGGGCTCGGCGCCAGGCGGTGGAGGGAAGCGAGATGTGCCTATAATCTATATAACTAGGCTGCGAGGAGGGGATGTGCCAGATCAGCACGAGTGCCCCTCTGGTGAGAACCCTCTGGCATCGATGCAGGCGCACCAGATTGCGTGGTTCATTGGCAGCTCCTGGGCGCTGCTCCCTGTCTGTGGTGGCGCATCCAAACTTGCGGCTGGGTTGGGCGGCCAGCAAAGCCAGCCGGAGGAATTCAGAAGACCCCCACCAGCTTGCATCTCGCTCCCTGAAGACAGCCGTGCGGCGGTGTCACTCATGACGTCTGCACGCACCTCCTAGCGCCACGGCACGAGCCTCAGGCAGGTGGCCTTACATCAGCAGCATCAGGAGCGGTGGCATAGGCGCTTGAGTTGCCCGGCACCGGCGGAGGCAGCTGCACTGGCTGTTGGGCGGTGACGGCGGCGGCGCAGGGCGGCGGCGCAGGGCGAGGACGCTGACAAGGGCGGCAAACAGCTGGTGCTTTTCTTTTTCCGACACCTGTTCCTTGCTACCACTCACGCCTTACAGGGGGGGATCCTCGGCGTTGTTCCGGCACCAAGAGGCAGGCAGCAACCCGCAAGTCGGGGAGCCATGAGCAACCCACCGTCGGGGACTGTGCTGCAGGTGCAGTGCGGGTCCTGCTTGAAGATAGTCAATGGTGAGCATTTGGGGATGGTGCGTCCCGGTGTCTGGGAACACGCAGCAGCACATGCATACCGCGCAATTCCTGGGCACAGCACACATGCTGGCGCTACCAACAGAGCCTGTTTCACCCGCCTTTGCTACCAGTCTCCTTGCCTTTCCCAACCGTGCTTCACATGCCCCCGACTCTGCTGGTGCGTGACACGTGGCGGGCGTGTTCTGTGACGTGTGCTGCAGTGCCGGCCAACTTCCTGGACCAGCTGCTGATGTTCAAGATGTACAACTGCCCGCACTGCAAGTCTCGGCAGTCCATCAACCTGGCTCCGCAGCAGGAGACGACGCTGCGGTTCCAGGCGCGGCAGATGATGCAGGCGGAGGAGGCGGCGCGGCAGCAGCAGCAGCAGCGGGCAGCCGCCACGCAGCTGGCAGCCATACAGCTGGCGGCGGCGGCGGCCTCGGCCCAAGCCGCGCCCCAGGCGGGAGGAGCAGCGCAGGTCGGTGCTGGTTGCAGGAGGCTGCGCGCTGATCATCTCGGATGCAGCAGCTGTAGATTTCTCACAGCCACGCTGCCCTGTCCTGTACTGCTGCTGTGCAGGGCTCCTCCACCGCAGCTGCTGCGCTGCAGGCTGCGCCCCGCGCTGCCGCACTCGGCTTCTGGGTCGGGCCTGACGCAAATGCAGCAGCTGCTGCAGCAGCACCACCAGAAGCAGGACGCGCAGCCGGCGGCGGCAGCAGCAGCAGCTGTGCTGCAGCAGCAGCAGCTGGAGCTGCTGAGGCAGATACAGGAGAAGCACGCCAAGGCCATGGTGGGTGTGCTGGCTGGCCGAGCTGCCCGCTTCGATGCCAGACAACCGCATGCCAGCTTCGTCCTGCCCCTGCTGCTGCCGCCCTGTGCCTGTTCCTCCGCACCGCCTCTGGTTCCACCTGCTGCTGCTGCCGGCCCCAGCCCGGTGCACCACCGCTTGCTCACGGCGTGCGTTCTGCCCCTGGCCCCGTGCCACCTTGCAGTCGTCGATGGCTGCTGGCGGAGCGGGGGCGGGGCAGATGGGCCACTTCCTGCCGCTCACGAACGAGCCCAGCCCCGAGGAGGAGGACGATGCTGATGACAGCGAGGTCCGGGACACATTCATGGTGGGTGAGGGGACCGCGGCTGAGCTGAGAGTGTGGGTGGTAGGGGGGTGGCTAGGGTCAGATGGCGCTGGTGATTGGGCAGGCAGCAGAAGGCGAACCTTCTGGATGGCGCGGCACGCAGCGAGGCGGGCTCCATGCTTGCTGGCGCTGGTCCTGCAGGAGTACAAGCCCGCCAAGCTGTCCTTTGGCCGCCCGCACCCCGATGCGGTGGTGGAGACGGCGAGCCTGGCAGCGGTGGAGCCTCCAGACATCACCTACCACCTCAAGGTCTGGTTCTGCTGTATTCGGTGGCCTGTGGCGGGAGAAGCAGCGGAGCGAGAGCAGGTCTTGGCCTTGCTTTGGCATGATGGCTGCCGCTCTGCCGCCCCAACCAGCATGCCCCGCTCGCTGCTTGCCCAGCCCGCCCGACGTGGATTGTGCGTTGTTGTGCATCGGCCCGCGCTGCAGGCGTACAAGGCGTTGGTCGATTCGCTGTCGGCGCTGCAGCTGGAGAGCGTGGTGTACGCGTGCCAGCGGCACCTGCAGATGCTGCCAGATGGCAGCCGCGGCGGCTTCTTCATCGGTAGGTTGCCCAGCCTGGGTTGGGGCGGTGGCTGTGTTGATAGGCGCGCCAGGACCCTCATGCACGACCCGTGCCCCACACCAGCTTGCCATGTCACCTGCGCCTGCGGCGGCTGGTTGCTCATGGCGTGCCGCGGCCTCTTTGTGCTGCAGGCGACGGCGCGGGCGTGGGCAAGGGGCGCACCATCGCGGGCCTGATCCTGGAGAACTGGCAGCAGGGGCGGCACAAGCACCTGTGGCTGTCTGTGGGTTCTGACCTCAAGATCGACACACAGCGGGACCTGAACGATGTGGGAGGTAGGGGTGCCGCCGCCGGCCAGCCGCACCCGCTGCTGCTGCCTCCGCCACCTCGCCACCTGAATCTGGCGAGCGCACAGCCCTTGCACCGTGCACTGCTCCGGTTGAGCCGGCATGCTGAGGTATAGCCCGTCGCCGCCTTCGCCTCGCCTCCCTTGCCGTGCAGCTGAGCACCTGCCGCTGCATGCGCTCAACAAGCTGCCGTATGGCAAGCTGGCGGGGCACAAGATTGGGGTCAAGGAGGGAGTCATCTTCCTCACTTACTCCTCTCTCATCTCCTCCTCAGGTGAGGCGCACCTCCAGGCAGCCCGTGCGCTGCGCATCCCAGGCAGCCTGCATGGGCATGTACGCTGCATCTGCCCCCAAGGCTGCAGATGCTGACGGATGCAAGCATCTGCATCTGCGTGTGCGCCCCGCCTGCCGCAGACCGCGGCCACACCCGGTTCAAGCAGCTGATCGAGTGGTGCGGCAAGGACTTTGATGGCCTGATCGTGTTTGACGAGAGTGAGCGAGGCCGCGCCGTGGGCAGACCGGCGGGCAGCCTGCCTGCGCCGCCATGCTGCGCTTGGATCTTTGGATCGGTTTGGGGGCTGCTGATGCTCCACAGGCCCAGGGAGGCACTTGCCCGTGAGCCAGCCCATCACCCTGCCGCCTGCTGCCCTTGCGCCCCACCCCCGCCCCTGCCTCCTGTGCAGGCCACAAGGCCAAGAACCTTGTGCCCGAGGCGGGGCTGCGCGCCACACAGGTCGGCCTCAAGGTGCGGGAGCTGCAGCTGCAGCTTCCCATGGCCCGCGTCGTCTACTGCTCCGCCACGGGCGCCTCGGGTGAGCCATGGCCGCTGCCGACGCCGCCGATGCCGCCGATGCCGCCGCCGCAGACGCAGACGCGTCGCCCAGCCGCCCGCTGGGATCTGTGCTGCGCGGGAGGCAGCCAGGTGGAGGAGGGGCAGGCCAGCGACTGCGTGCATGGTGCGTTGCAGGTGTGTATGCGCATGCCCGACCCACGACGCCTGTGCGCTCGCCTTGCTCCTTGGCCCCCTCCCCGCTTTCCTCCCCGCAGAGCCTCGCAACATGGGCTACATGGTGCGGCTGGGGCTGTGGGGGGAGGGCAACCCCGCCTTCCGGGACTTCCCGAGGTTCCTGGATGCGGTACAGGTGCGGGTGCGGCTGCGGGTGCGGCTTGGGGGGCTCGCTTGCGTGGCGCGCCGCGGGCCAGATGCGGGCCCAAAGCGCGATGCCCCGTTCAGGCACGTGTGCGCAGCAGCGCGCCCCTCTCCCCTGGCTGGCCCCGGCACCCCTGTCCCCGCCACAAGCGCCGGCACGCGCGCCCTGCAGGGCAAGGGCGGCTCCGGCGGCGGCAGCATGGCTGCGCTGGAGCTGGTGGCTATGGACATGAAGGCGCAGGGCATGTATGTGTGCCGCACGCTCAGCTTCGCGGGTGAGATGCGCCGGCCTGCCCCAAAAATGCTGCCTGGCTGGCTGTGCGGGCTGGTTTGGCTGGCTGGGCTGGCTGGCCTGCCTGGCTGGGCTTGAGCGGCCGCTCTGCGGCGCGCCGCGCCGCACCGGGCCGCGCTGCGCCGCCCGCCCCTGCTCACCGCAACCGCCGCCTCGCTGTCGCGCACAGGCGCGGAGTTTGAGACTGTGGAGGCGCCGCTGGAGGAGCCCATTGCCAGCCAGTACACCGCGGCGGCAGCCACCTGGAACCAGCTGTTCCGGGAGTTTCTGTACGCCGAAGAGCTGGCGGCGGCGGCGGCCGGGGACGGCGGCGCCGCGCCCTCAGGTGCGTGCCTTGGCCGGCTTGGCCTGCAGGGCGAGCCTGGCTGCCACCAGCTGGTGCTGGGCTTGCGAGGCAGGCTCCCGGGGGCATCATCCGGCGGGAGCAGCTGCAGGCTGGCGGGCTGCTTGCTGGGCTGCGCCGCCCCGACGGCCTGCCGCCACGCGAGCCAGGCACGCGTGTGGGTGTCGTCCTGCAGGCACGACGACAGGGGAGGGCGGGCGGCGGCGCGGCGGCGACCACCGCAGCATGACGTGGCGCAGCTTCTGGGCGGGACACCAGGCCTTCTTCCGCCACATGACCATGGCAGCCAAGGTGTGTGGCGGGGGCAAGAGAGGCGGCGTCAGCTGCTGCCTGCTGCGCTGTTGCTCTGCTTGCCTGCCTTTGTCTCCACCCACTCGCTTCACGTCGTGCTGCTGCCGCTGAATGGCACCGCCACCGCCACCGCCCCCCCTGCAGGTGCCCGCTGTGGTGCGCATGGCGCAGGCAGCGGTGGCCAACGGCAAGTGCGCCGTCATCGGGCTGCAGTCAACAGGAGAGGCGCGCACCGCGGATGTGGTGGCGGACAGGGGAGAGGAGCTCGACGATTTCGTGTCGGGTGAGACCCTTCTGGGCCCAGCTCAAACTCTGGTTTGATGCCCAGAGTGGCCTTTGCCCGGTGCTGCCTCTGCGACAGGCCGCTAGGGCTCGCTGTGCTGGCCTGGCGGCACACCTTTCCCAACCCTGCTGCTCCCTGCCCACCCCTCCCCATTTTCCCAGCCTGTCTGCTGCCTACCTTCACATTCCACCCATGCCCGTTCTCGTCACTCAACATCTCCCGCAGGCCCCAAGGAGCTCCTCATCCGCCTGGTGGAGAATTACTACCCGCTGCCGCGAGACCCCAACGCAGAGGAGGATGAGGCGGGTGAGCGGGGCAGCGACACCGGGATCAGCGGGATCAGCGGATCAGCTGTGGGGGCCGGCACGGCTTGGGTCGGGGCGGCCCCATTCCTCAACGCCTGCTTCCCAGCTCACATGCCCTGTCTCCTGCACGGCGCCCTGGCCACCTGCTCCCTCCCGCCGATCCTTCCTCACACACACACCGCTGGCATGACCCCGCAGACAGCGACAGCGACGAGGACTTTCAGGTGGCTGCGGTGGCAGAGGCGGTGGCACGGAATGCGCTGGAGGGGCGGGACCAGGTGTACCGCGGGGCCAAGGCGAGGGCTGTGCGGTACAGAGAATGGTCAGAGTCGGGTGAGCGAGGAGCGGTGTTGGGGAATGGAGGGCCGCGGGAGGCCTGTTGCCTGGGGATCCAGGGGATAGCAGGGGAGGGAAAGCAGCGGCTGATGGCTGGACGGCTTTGGCTGCGGTTTGGCGGGCGCTCGGCTGCAAGTGCCTGCCCTGCCTGCCGCACACACCTGCCTGCCCTGCAGAGGACATCGGGGACAGCTCCTCGGGGGACGACGATTCCGGCGGCTCCTCCTCTGCCTCCGATTCTGGCGTCGAGGGGGAGCAGGAGGGAGAGGAGGATGGCAGCATGGAGGTGGTGCTGGATGGGGAGGACACCGAGACCGCCGGGGGCCGCCGCTCGGGCCAGCCCACCTCTGGCGCCAGCTCAGCAGACGCCAACGGCGGCGTGGGCACCGAGGGGGAGGCCAGCGGCAGCGGCGGCAAGGGCCGGCGGGGCCAGCGGCGGCCCAACGAGCGGGGCAGGCGGCGTGGCGGGAGGAGGGAGGGCGGCAGCGGTGGCAGCGGGGATGACGACAGCGGCGAGGAGTATGATCCCATCGCCAAGCGCGCCTCTGCCACCTCCTCCAGCAGCAGCGGCAGCAGCGGCAGCGAGGACGAGGCGCTCAACATGCAGCAGAAGGAGCAGGTGGGCCGGCCTTGCTGCCAGCTCGGCTGCTGCGTACCGCTGCGTACCGCTGCGTACCGCTGCATACTCGCGCGTCCCGCCCTGATTCTGTAGCTCCTGCTGTGCGGCTGGTACGTGCCACCCACCTGCCCCCTCTTGCCGCTGCCGCGCATCCACCCGCCACCGCCTGCAGCGGAGGCAGCAGCGGCGCATGGCGGCCGAGCTGAAGGCGGCGCGGCTCGAGCAGGCGGCGGCGGCATACCAGGCGGCGCTGAAGCGCAAGGCGGTGGTGATGGCGGCGGTGCAGCAGGTGGGGGCTGGGCTGGGGCTGCAGCAAGCTTTACAAGCGGCGCTGGCGAGCAGCTTGAGGATGGGTGGGGCGTGAGGGAGAGGGCGAGGGGGGAGTCTGGCAGGCACCCCAGCCCCGCCTCACCTCGCTGCTAATGGCCTGCTGGCCGCCCTGGCTGCAGCTGGAGCTGCCCAGCAACCCGCTGGACACATTGATAGACCAGCTGGGAGGCCCGGCCAAGGTGCGTGCCCGCCACAGCAATGGGGTGCAGCCCACACCTCGCTGTTGCTGCATGCCACATGCCGTGCGTCGCAGCGGCAGCGGCTGCAGCGCTGCACTGCAGCTGCCCTCCCGGCGATCCACCCCCAACTCCCAGTGTGTGCCTCATGGCGCCGTGCAGGTGGCTGAGATGACGGGTCGCAAGGGGCGCCTTGTGCGCAGCAAGTCCAGCGGCGGCGTGGTGTATGAGCCGCGCAACGCCTCGGGCGTGTCGGCAGGTGCGCCCGCAGGGCACAGCACCTCCACGCATGCCGCCGTGGACCTGGCCAGCGCAGCCCTGCAGCATGCAGCCTTCTGCTGCAGCAGCCAGGCGGCCGGCCAGGCTGAGCCACATCTCGACCCTCCCAGCCCTCCTCCCTCCCTCCCTCCCTCACGCACTGTTCCCTCCACACACTCACACCCCCGCAGGCGCCACCCTCGAGATGATCAACGTGCACGAGCGGGAGCTGTTCCTGGGGGGCCAGAAGCTGATTGCCATCATCTCGGAGGCCGCCTCGGCGGGCATCTCGCTGCACGCCGACCTGCGCGCCGCCAACCAGCGCCGCCGCGTGCACCTCACCCTGGAGCTGCCCTGGTCTGGTGAGCAGCGGCGGCTGTGTGTGTGTGTGTGTGTTTGTGTGCAGAGTGGGTGGCGGACAGCAGGCAGGGTGGGGCAGCGGTCAAGCCGGGCGTGCGAGGATGTCTGCCCGGCGCGGTGCTGACAGGTTGGCGTCTCTTTCCCGGTTGCTCTCCTGAACCTTGGCTTCACCAGCCTGCCTGCCTGCCTGCCCTCCCGCTCCCGGCTCCCACCCTGCAGCCGACAAGGCCATCCAGCAGTTCGGGCGCACCCACCGCGCCAACCAGGCGCACGGCCCGCAGTACCGCCTCATCTTCACGCCCCTGGGCGGCGAGCGGCGCTTTGCGGCGGCGGTGGCGCGGCGGCTGGAGAGCCTGGGCGCGCTGACGCAGGTGCGGGAGGGTTTTGGATGGGAAGGAGGGTGAAGCCTAGACTGGGCACATGACGCCTGGGTGCTCTGAGCTTGGTTTTGCCGGGCCCGCAGCCGCCAGCCTCCCTCCCACACCGCTCGATTCCTTCACTCCCGCCATCTACTTCGCCCTGCCTCCCCTCCCTTGCACATCCGCGCAGGGCGACCGCCGCGCGGGCCCCAGCCTGAGCGCCTTCAACTACGAGAGCGTGTGGGGGCAGCGCGCGCTGCGGGAGATGTACCGCGCCATCATGCTGGAGTCGCGGTCCCTGCTGGCACTGCCGCAGCCCTGCCGCCCCGGTGCGCGCGTGGCGGTGTGTGCGCGGCGGTGATGGGCGGCAAGGGCTGCGTGGGGCCCGGCCCGCCTATGTGCTGGACCTGCTCGCCTCACCTGCCCTGCGAGCGCTTCAGAACCGTATTGTTCCATGCGTGGCGGCGCTGCTTCCCCCGCCGCAGGCCCCTCCGGCGAGGCCCCGCCGCTGTCTCTGGGCGTGTTCCTGGGCAAGGCGCGGGCGCTGCTGCTGAATGTGGGCATCATCCGCCACAACAAGGCGGTGGTCTCGGGTGCGCTCCGCCGCCTCGCCTGCGCACCACCGATTGCCTGCGCCTCCTCCTGCATTCAGCGCCCTGCATCCAGCGCCAGGTTTGTCAGCCTGCGCCTGCTGGGCAGCCTTTGTAGTCGTTCGCCCACTCACACCCGCTACCCCTTCTTTCCTGCTGCCTGCCCGGCCTGCCCTGCCCCCGCAGCCTCCCACATCAACGAGTACCTGAGCCGCCCCGATGGCGCGCCGTCCAGCGTGGGGCGTATCGACGAGAAGGACATGGCAGATGTGCCGCGCTTCCTCAACAGGTGATTATGGGGCTGGCTGGCTGGTGGCTGGCTGGCTGGCTGGCTGGCTGGCTGGCTGGCCTCCTCAGCTGGGAAGACTTGGAGGCTTCTGTACTTCTACAGAAGCAGGGCCCTGCTGGCTCGGGTGCTCGAGAGCCCCAGCCTGCCGCGCCCCACCCGACGTCCACCCAACACCTTCCGAATCTCCCCTTTGCCCCACACCTGCCCACCTGTGCAGGCTGCTGGGCCTGGAGCCTGTGGCCCAGCAGACCATCTTCGACTTCTACCAGGTCACCCTGGAGGCGCTGATGGACAAGGCGCGGAGGGAGGGCGCCCTGGGTGAGGCGGCAGCTGGCGCAGCGGAAGCGCCGGGAGGCGCTTTGTTTGGGTTCTTGTGGGGACGGCGTTGTGGGTGTGCTTGGCCGCGGTTGTTGGCTGCTTGCAGTGCTGGCTGGCAGCCTAAAGCAAGCAGAAGCAGTATTGTGCAGGACTGCCCCACCTGGCGGGCCCACCCAGCATTTGTACCTGTTCCCATCAACCTCCCCGCCGCTGCCCTGTGCCCTTCCCCTCCTCCAACAGACGAGGGCATTGTTGACATCAAGGCCCACGGCGTGAGCCTGGTGGGGGAGCCGCGTGTGCTGCACCGCGACGCCACCACGGGCGCCACCACAGGTGGGGGCTGCGCCGCCGCTCTGGGTCGCCCCGTGTCGCTGCACAGGCGGGGTGGGGGGCTGCACAGAGCGGGGTGGGGGGGTCCTGTTTGCGGTGGCACTCGGCGTGTGCAGTCTGGACCTGACGGTGCCCTCGCTGCTGTGGCGTTGCTGACATGGCACTGCTGACGTGGCACTGTTGACGTGGCGCTTGACCTGCGCAGTGATGTACGAGGTGGAGCTGGACCGCGGCCTGCCCTGGCAGGATGCCGAGCAGAAGCTGGAGGAGCACCGGCAGGCGCTGGCGCTGGCAGAGGCCGGGCTGGCGGCGCCCGGCAGCGGCGCCGCCGTGCCCGCCGTGGTGGCATCCATCCCTGCGCCGCCAGATGCAGGCGATGGCGAGCAGCAGCAGCAGCAGCAGCAGCAGCTGAAGGAAGAGGAGGAGCAGCAGGAGCAGCAAGAGGGTGTGAGGCAGGAGCAGCAGCAGGAGGAGTTGGAGAGGAGCCAGCAGCCTAGCGGCGGCTCGCTGCCGTCCAAGCAACAGCAACCGGACGAGGATGAGCAGAAGAGGGAGGCTTCTCCTGGAGGGGCTGGTGCGGCTGTCAAGCAGGAGCCAGAGAAGGGGGAGGCGGCCAAGCCTGAGTCAGCTGCAATGCGTCGCAAGAAGCGCCAGCGGCGGCCGGGCAAGCAGGAAGCAACAGAGCCTGCGGCAGCGGAGGCTGAGAGGTCTCCGGCCAAGCGCAGGAGATCAAACGGCACAGCTGCTGGCGAGGAGGCGCCCCCAGCGGCAGCAGCAAAGTCGGCGGCAAAGCAGGAGGAGCAGCAGGCTGATGCAGACATGATTGACCTTACTCTGTCTGACAGCGAGGGCGACGCCAAGGCCACTGGCAAGAAGCAGGGCTCTGACGACGCAGAGGTGGAGGTGGTGGAGGCAGCAGGTGAGCCCAGGAGGAGGAGCTGGCCTGATTGTTCTGCTGCGCCTCACTCAGCTTGCATCTCTCTCTCAGCAGACCTGCGCGGCTCATACAACTGCTGCTCCCATTGGCCGCTACGCAGACGCCACCCCCGCGCGAGCGGGCGGCAAGCGGCGTTGGGAGAGCGGCTTCTACCGAGCTCGCCAGGAGGGCATCAACCGGCAGGTGGGACTGGCACAGAGGCCTGCAGGCTGGGCTCGGCGGCTTGATCGCAAGTTCTAGCTTGCGGCTCGCAGCCTGTAGCGTGCGTATTCAGCTCTGGAAAGCCCCGGATTTGCTCCTCCCCCACTACCCCTGACCTCGCGACTCCTTCAGGTGCACGTGATGCTGGCGCTGCAAGTGACGGGCTCCCAGCCGCCCACCTTCACCATCTACCGGCCCGCCACAGGGCGGGGCCGCCAGATCATGAGCCTGCAGGCACGCCCCTGGCCTGCCTTTGCTTGTGCGGGAGGCAACCTGCACACACACCCTGGCACAACCCCAGCTCCCTGCAAACATACACCAGGGGGCCACACACACTTACATGCCTACGTGCATCACCCCCCACACCGCCCGCCCTCCATCCCTCCCTTGCGCAGGAGCTCAAGGCACGCTACCAGCCGCTGGAGCCGGCCGCCTGCCGGCCGCTGTGGAACAAGGCGTATGAGGCGGCGGGCGCGGCGCCCAAGGAGGGCAAGAAGGCGGGTGTGCTGCGCAAGAAGCGGCTGCACATCCTCGGGGGTGCTGTCATGCACAGCTGGGGCGTCGTGCAGGTGTGCGGGAGGGAGGGCGGGGGGGGGGCTTGTCAGGGCGGGGCAGGGCCTTGAGAGGAGTGGGCATAATGTAGCATACATGGGAGCGGCGCAGGAAGGCCTTGCGGCTGGCAAGGGCACGAAGCCAGCCTGCCAGGGATGGTCGGGCTGTGCGCCAGCTGCGATCACACCCAGCCGCCCAGGCGCGCCACGCGGCGCCTGTCCGCACCTCATCCTGACCTCGACCTTTGCCCGGCCCCTGCCTGCCTGCCTGCCTGCGTGCAGCAAGCCATGGTGCGCCATGTCAAGTCGTCAGAGCGGCGCATGCGGGTTCTGCGCATCGCCACCACCGGAGAACACCCGCTGCGCCTGGTGGGCATGCTGATCCCGGATCCGGCGGTGGGGGAGGTGGTGGAGCAGCTGCAGCAGAAGGAGGCCGAGGAGGAGGAGAAGAAGAAGCAGGCTGCAGAGGCTGCAGACGCGCGCGGCAGCGATGGCAGCGGCGCCAGCGAGGGAGCTGATGCGGAAGGGAGCAAGGCGGTGGCGGTGGCGGCGCAGGCGGGACCAGGAGGCCGTGCCCGCGGCCGCAGCAAGCGCGCCGTCACTCCAGCCAGCGGCGGGAGAGGGCGCGGTGGAGGGCTCGCCGCTCAGCAGGAGGGTCGCCGCCAGCAGCCTGCGCGCGGCCGCACGCGGCAGCAGCAGGCAGAGGTGGAGGACGAAGAGGAAACGACGGAAGAGGAGGTGCCACAGAGCTCTGGAGGGAACAGCTCAGATGATGAGGCGAGCAGCAGCGAGGAAGAGGAAGAGGACAGCTCAGGGGAAGCGTCATCGGAGCGGACGGAGAGCGCCGACGCAGCGAGCGGCGGCGCCGGCGGCAAGGCAGCGGCGCCAGAGCGGCCACGGCACCAACCGCGGCGGGGCAGGGGCGCGGCCAAGCCGTCGAGAGCTTCCTGATCCAGCTGTGTTGCACCTAATGCTGTTACTTCATAAAAGCAACAAAGTTCTGTTGATGGACAGTTGAGATGTGGAAGCTGGCCGCCTTGGAATCGATTAGTTTGCATCTCATTGTTTTGCTGCCTATTGATCACAAGTGGCCCAGGTGAGGGCATCGGGCAATTGAGTGCACTGCCGCACGCTTGCTTTCCTCGCCGGTCCAGGATCGGCCCTGAATCGCGCTCTGTCAGCGATCTTAGCACTCTGTATCCCGCCCACTAGCCCATTGGGGCGAATGGCAGCCGATGGCGACTGACATGCATGCATGGCTGCCGCAGGCTCCCAGTCAACCGCTGCAGTCGGCCTGCTCAAAGGAATCCAAAGAATGGCGCCCAAGGTCTGCCGCTCGCGCTTGGAGCTCTGCCGCCGCCACCCACCGCCGCCACCGCCCGCCGCAGCCGCTGCGCTGCGCGGATCCCCGTGCGGCCTGCCCTTTGAGCCGAAGCTGCGTTCATTGCGCTGATGTATCCCTGACCATTGACTGCCCCATGTCTGCCAGCGGTGCGTGTCGTGTGCCTGGGCGCCTGCAGCGCGCGGCCGGCGGCGACGCCACCGGCGCGCAGCCCAAGCGCAAGAAGGAGAGCAAGGCGATGGAGGCGCCTGTGCGCCAGCCTGGCGGCCTCCTCTACTTCTTGATCAAGCGGCAGGTGGGCGGGGCCCTGGTCGTGGACTGCTAGCAGCCCACCCGGGCCCGCCGCCACTTCCCCATGCCTTGCCACCAATACCCGCCCTGCACCCGCGTGCACTCCCTCCCCGCAGGTTGATGTCCTGGCTGTGTCGGACTTTGATCAGGCACCCAACAACACCCTGCCCATCACCGGCCTACACCACTACGGCGCCAAGAAAGTCATAGAGACGATGCAGGTGGGGCGGAGGCGCGTCGCCAAGCCCTTGCGCTGCTCGTACGCCACAGCCCCTAGCTCCACACGCCCTGCGCATGCCCGCTCATCTTCCTATGTGCCCTCCCTGCCCCCACGCCCCACCGCAGGTCGGCGACGAGGTGCTGTTCTGGCAGTCGGGCAAGGCAAGCGCCGCGGGCGTGTATGCGCTCTATTCTGTAGCCAGGGCCGCATACCCCGACCCAGAGGACGAGAAGAACAAGGGCTTCCTGGCCTTTGACCTGAAGCTGGAAGAGCACTTTGACAGTGAGTGGAGGGCGGGCTGCGCCACCGTTGGGGGCCTGGCTTGCTGCCACCTGGCCTCTGCCGCCGCCTGCAACACGTGAGGAGGCTGGCTGCTGCCCCCGTGCCCTGCTTGCTACCCCACAGAGCCCGTGCTGCTGTCAGAGCTGAAGGAGCACAAGGACGACGAGCTGGAGGGCTGCTCCCTCTTCAGCAACAACGCGCTGCCAGGTGGGCTGCCCAGCCCGCAGCTGCCCCGCGCTGGTGGCGGCAAGCTGCTGCCAGCCTGACCCTCCTCCTGCCTTAATGTCTGCAGCCCACTGGATGTCAGAGGAGCACTTCGAGTGGATCTATCAGCAGAGCGGCAACCTCGATGCCGCCGAAGGAGCAGGAGAGGCACCGAGCTGAGGCACGGCAGCGGGCGTCGAGAGCGCCCTGGCAAGCGCTTTCAGAGCCTCACGCCTGGACGTGAATGTAGCTGTGAATATGAAAATTGAGTCGATTTAAAGCATGCCATTGATCCAGCAGGCAAGGACTGCATGAAACATTGAGCCAAGGGTATGGACGGCGGCAAGTAGCGGCAGGGCGGCCACCAGCGGCAGCGGCAGCGTCCCCACCGTCCAAGGTTTGTCCCACCTCCCTCTGGCCCAACAGAGGAGCGCTGCTGTGGCCGTCAATGCTGCAGGATGGGAACTCATCAGTCCTCGTTGGCCTTCCCGCATGGGGCCGCCCCTTCCTCCTGCAGGCTGGGTTTGCACAGGAGGGCTAGCATGGGAGCCAAGGTTTGTTCCTCCATTCCTGCTACTCACCCAGCTCCAGGAGAATGCAGACGCTGCCCCCCACGCCTCACTCCAGCAGTCGAGACCGCCCCTCCACCAAGCGCTCCAGCCCGGCCTGCGAGCAGCAGCCCAAGCGGTGGGTGGCCTGGGTGGGCAGCACCAGGGCTGGGAGCCACCCACAGCCCCTGTGGCCACAGGACGTGCGCCTCTTACGTGCCCCTCTCCACTTCGCTTCCTGCAGCTCCAAGATCTTCCTCTGGCGGGCTGGATCGGTGGAGAGCGAGTGCACGAGGCTGGACATGAGCACTTCGCCGGCAGCGGCAGCGCCAGAAGCGGCAGGCGACGGCGGCGGCGGCAAGGAGGGCGGCTGGGACAGCGCCGAGTCGCAGTCAGTGCTGCAGGCCCCCAATGTGCTGGGCAGCGGGGCCAGCGATGCTGAGATCAGCGGCCTGGCCGCGCCGCCCCAGCCTCAAGCCACGTTAGGCGCCGCGGCGCACGTCGCAGGCGAGGGTGCCGCGGCAGCGCCCGGCAGCCAGCCGGATGAGGAGCTGGTGCAGGCGCCTCGGCAGCTGGTGTCCCCTGAGTTCCTTGCTGAGCTGGCAGCAGCCAACGCCTGCCTGCAGCACCTGCCGCTGCCAGGTGAGCCCCAGCCCCGCGGGACTGCTTGCAGCCTGGTGCGCCACGCGGCGCAGGCTTGCAAAGCCCACACGACCGCGTCCGAGCGCCTCTCTTCATTGCTGTCGATCCTGGAAGTCGCATGCGGCACGCCCCGGCTGGGTCTGCAGACACATGCTGGCCCCCCGCCTGCCCGCCACGCCTGCGCAGGCGGCGTGCACTTCAGCCCCGTGCACCCCAGCTGCGTGCTGCTGCCACTGTTTGAGAGCTACGAGATGCCGCCCGCCGCGGTCGCCCTGGGTGCTTCCTACTTCCAGCGCCTGCTGGCCGGCTGCGAGGGGCTGGCCGAGGAGGCGGTGGCGGCAGGCTTCTTCTCCTGGCACCCCGCCCCCAGCGGCAAGCTGGTGAGCAGTCCTGGTGCCTGCTGACTGGTGCTGGGGCCTGGGCTGGCTGCAGGTCACGGGGCGGGCGGATCCCCGCATGTGCCCCGTAGCTATGCATGGGCCTTGGCATTGGCACACCGCGGGCTGGCGCCAGGCCCTCTGCCAGTCCCCTCAACCCCCGCACGCACTCCCCCCCTGCTCTGCTTCCAACACCCTGCCCCACCCTGCCCCGCTGACCCGCCTCTTCAGGAACCAATGATGCATGCGCGGGCGGGCAATGACTCGCTGCTGTCCATCCTCTGCACCTGTGTGTACCTGGGGCTCAAGGTGTGTGGTGCTGCTTACAACCCCATGAGAGCCTGCCTGCCTGCCTGCCTGCCTTGCTGCTGTCCTTGCTTGGCCTTGCGCGGCTGCCGCCCCAGACCCTTGCCCCTGTACCCTGCCGCTTCTGGCACCCGGGCCGCAAGGCTGCCCTGCAACCCCTGCCTGGCGTGCTGGTGGCGTGTCTGGGCCACATGCGAGCCCATGGCTGGCATTCCCCTTCCCGCCTGCCATGCCCTGCAGATGTGTGAGGGCCCCAAGTACAGCTTCCTGCTGTCCAACATGCTCACTGCCATCAACCGCACCCACATTCCCTCGGAGGAGGTGAGCGGGCGGGGCCGCCAGGCTGGCCTGCATGCGGCCAGGATGTGAACGGCAGGGTACTTGGGCTCGGGGTGTAGGCTGCACGGCAGGCCTGGGAACAGCAGCTCTCTACCAAGCTGGCGCTTGCATGACTGAGAAGCTGAGAAGACGCATCCATCTGGTGCAGGCCACCGCCTTTGAGATGAAGTGCCTGAAGAGGCTGGGCTGGCGCCTGGGCCCCTACTGCTGCCTGCCCTGCCGCGCATGAGGCAGAGGCGCTGAGCCGGCGCATGAGCGCTGCAGCAGAGCAGCCGAAGCAGATAGATAGATGAACAACAGATGAGCAACTCCGCAGCCCACCCGCCTGCTGTATAAATTTTCAACCAATGAAGCAATTATAATCTTGCATGCTGCCCGTTCACCTTGCCCCCCCAGCAATGCTTTCTGTCCTGCTGTGCCGCTGCGACATTCAGTACTGTTCCCTTTCTCCCGCCCGCTGCGAAGCAGCGTCCATTAGATGGAGCGCCCCCTCCGGTTGCGCCTTGCGGCCCATGCCGCTGGGCTGTCACCGCGGGAAGGTTGCAGTCCAGGCCTCGAATTACCTTGTAGGTGATCAACGATTTAAAAAGCAACCTTGAAAGAACGGAAGAACAAGCCGTGGGCTGGGACCAAGCAGTTCCTGCACGACTGCCGCCGCCGGCAAACACGTCGACCGCGCACAGCGCGCCGCTGCCTCCCTCGAGGGGAGATCGTCACTGGATGGGAGGTGCTTTGGAAAGGTTTTAGAGGGCAGGGGTGAAAGGGCGAATCCAGGACGGGCCCAGGGTGGTGATCCCGGCTCAAACGCCGGCCTTGCAACCTGCCGGTGCTTTCTTTTTGCCGCCACCCGGGCGCGTGTTGTGAGTTGGTACTTGGGGCCTGTGGACACATCGCCAAACTCCCCTCCTCTCTCCCTGCACTCTCCAGCATGCTGACTCCCGCCTCGTCCCTCTGCTGCGAGCTGCCCGCGGGTCTGGCAGGTGAGGGTGCTCCAGGGCTGCTACGTTTGCCGCCCAAGACTGCTCCCAAGGCTGCCCAGGACTGCTGAGGGAGCTGCCCGCGCCTGCCTGTGGTGGGGGAGCTGCCTGGAGCTACCTGACGAGGCTCCCACTTCCCTCAAGTTAAAACACTCAACGCTGCAGGCCTGAATGGCGCCCAGCACGAGGAGCTGCCCCCAGTGACGCCCCTGGCGGTGAGCAGGCAGCCTTGGGGACAGCTGGGGGCTGCTGCAAAAACGCTGGCACAGTTTGCTGTGTTGGGCAGCTGCTCCTCTCCCATCGACCTCGGCCTGTTCTAATGCCCCTTTGTAGATGTCCTGCGGCCTGGTTGCATCCCTCCGACGAGCACTCCTTTGGGCGCGCCCACCGCGACGCTCCCGCCGCCCCGCGCGCCGCGCGGGCCGCCTCCGCCGGCGGCACCCTCCTGGACGTGCTGCTGACCAGCGCTTTGGAGGAGGTGCCCATGGTGCAGAGCCTGGCGGCCGTGCCGCTGCCGCCAGCGCTGCCCCAGGCGCCCGGCTCGCCTGCGGCGATGGTGGCACCCACCGCGCCGCCGCCGCTGCGCAGGCGTCGCCTGCTGCCTCCGCCCGAGATGCCGCCCCACGTGCTGGCCAGCCTGCAGCCCGCCAATGTGCAGCGCCCGGAGGCGATGGAGGTGCACGGCGGCAGCCTGGGCAGCACCTGCGACAGCTGCCTGGCCGACACTGCAGCCTCGCCGCTCGAGCGCCCAGCGCCCGTGCACCCCGCGCTGGCACAGGCGCTCTCCTGGCTCAGCACCGCCGCGCGCAGGGCCTGAGCCGCCGCTGCCAGAAAGGCGCAAGTAGCAGCTGCCAAAAGGCGGCATGCACACCGCAACGATCCCCGATATAAACTGCACTTGCACCGCACCACCACGCCCCCTCCCCTCGCTGTGCCGGCCCGCCAGAAGGCGGGTCGCCCTGCTGCCTCGCGCTGGGGCTCCACGCGTGACCTCATCACCTTCTGCATGAAGCATTTCGTGTGAGAAGTTATGCTTCAATTTTTGCCCATGTTTCAAGTTGACTAGCTCCCTTACCTTGCAGTTTTTCATAGCAGCAGCGCTAGCATAGCCACCCTTCTAACCACCTCTCTTGTTTCTTTCGTTTTCAGCCCAGGCTTTCATTCCCCACCTACGCAGCTAGCGATTATTGAGCGCTGCCTCCTCTTGCAAGGCGAGCGCTACGTGTTGTAACTTTACATTACAAGCGCTGCAGATGGCGACCAGGGTCCGGGAGCCCTCCCCCAGCAAGGAGCGCTGGCCTGCCGACGCTCAACCCACTGCCTTCTCTGTCGTGCTGCCCAGTGCCTGCCAGCATCGGCCTGCTTGCCCGGTGAAGGTGCATCAGCCTCCGCCCTGTGGCCCCGCCACCATGGCCAGCCCCATCACCGCCTGCGCCGCCGCCAGCAGCCGGTCGTCCACAGACCAGCGCCGCTCATCCCCCAGCGCCGCCTCCAGCACCCGCTCGTGGCGGGAGCCTGGGCCGTAGAAGGCGCGAGCCAGCGCCAGCGCCAGCCGCCTGACCTGCAGGCTCCATGGGAAGCAGCAGGGTGCGGCGGGGTGCCAGGCTGGAGTGGATGGGTACGCCCTTGGGGAGACCTCCCTTCCTGGGGCCCCGGGATGCAATGGCGGCACTGGCTCTCAACACCACACCCGCCAGCTCACCGCCCAGCCCAGCGAAAACAGCATGGCCAGGAAGGCGGGCCCCTCTGAGCCCGCGCCTCCCCCGCCCCCCTCAGCCTCCGCCGCCAGGCCGCCTGCGCCGCGTAGCAGGGCGAGCAGGAACAATCGCTCCACGTGTGTCTGCAGGGAGGCGGCTGCCTCGGCCACGCTGCAGGTCATGGAAGGCACGCAGGCAGGCAGGCAGGCAGGCAGGGAGCTCATGCGGCACGGGTGGATGGGTTGCCCAGGAGCCGCGAGCACGCTACGGTGAGGGAGCTCTGGGGATCTCTCG